GGGGCCGGAGGGGGGGGCCCCGGCTGCAAGCTGACACCCGCGCCTCGCGGAACCGGGAGAACTGCAGCGCGCGCACGCACACTCGCATTCACACTCGCGTCCTGCTCGCCTGCACCTTCCGGGGACTGCACCTCCCCTCCTCGGGCAGCCGCCCTACTCCTCAGACTTATCCAGATCCCCTCGACTGAACCCCATGAGTACCCTGGGAGGTCCTTCTCTTGCCCTCCCGCAAAGCCCGAGAGTCTGGCTCGCACTCACTCCAACGCATCTAACTTTCTTTGCAAACAACCCCCAGAACTCCGCGCGGGTTCCTACTCCGCTCCCACCGCACTGGTAGACGGCACTGCCCCCTGCGGGAAAGCCGAGGACTCGCAGACCCGCCGCTCAACCGGTCCGCCTGCGGTTCCTCAGTGCAGGATCCCATCAGCCCTTTACCCAGCCGGATTCCTAAGGCAAAAGACTGGAGAATTTTATGATACCTCGAAACAAACTGAGCGGCCTTCTGTCCTCTTTCTTGTGGTGTCCCAACGCATTCCAGGCCTCAAACTCTTTTTGATCACGTCCTAAGTGAGGTACTACCAATGATCACGCTTTCTCTAGAGCTGTAGAAAAATTGTGAAATCCAATACTGACTGTCTTGGACTCAAAAGGGATTTTGATTGTATTCATTTCAAGGAGAAATTATCAACTAGAACTTCCAAAGATGATCATGAAGCTGCCTTGATAGCCAACAAGCATAATAAAATAATTACCAAGCAGCTTCACAGGTAAAGAACAGCCTTGAGAGAGCATTTCCAAGAACTGACAAGATGGTTCAGCAGGTAAAGGTGCTTGCCATCAAGCCCTATGACCTAAGTTCCATGTCCTGTCCTGTTGTTGCTTGTTTTTTTTATTGTTTGTCTTTTGGGAACCCTGTACCCAGCTCCCAAATCATGACACGGAGGCTTATTCTTTTTTGTAAATACCCGGCCTTAACTTGGTTTGTTTCTCGCCTGCCTTTCTTAAATTATCCCTGTATACCTTTTGCCTCTGGGCTTTTCCCTTTTCTTACTTCCGTATATCTTTTTAAAAATTAATTTAATTTTTACATTCCAATCCCAGTTCCCCCTCCCTCCTCTCCTTCCGCTCCCCCCCCCCCAATCTGCTCCACAGAGACGGTAAGAGCTCCACTAGGAAGTCTACTAAGTCCCATCATCTCGTTGAGGCAGGACCAAGGCCCCTCTCCCCCCTCACACCCCTGTGTCTAGGCTGGGCAAGGTATCTCTCCATATAGAATGGGCTCCACTAAGTTAGTTTGTGCATTAGTGTTAGCTCTTGAACCCACAGCCAGTGGCCTCGTATATTGTCCCAGTCACACCATTGTCACCTATATTAAGGGCATCTAGTTCAGTCTTATGCAGGTTCCCCATTTGTCAGACCTGAGTCAGTGATCTCTCACTAGCTCTGGTCAGCTGATTCTGTGGGTTTCCCCATCATGGTTTTGACTCCTTTGTTCATATCACTCCTCCCTCACTTCAATTGTACTCCAGGAGCTTGGCCCATTGGTTAGTTGTGGATTTCTGCATCTGCTTCCATCTGTTTCTAGAAAAAGGTTCAAGCTTCTCTGGGATTATGGATTATAGACTGGGTGCCTTTTGTTTTGTGTCTGGTATCCACTTATGAGTGAGTACATACTATGTTTGTCTTTCTGGTTTTGGGTTACCTCGCTTAGCATGTTTTTTTGTAGTTCAGTCCATTTGCCTGTGAATTTTAGAATGTCATTGTTTCTTACCGCTGAGTAGTACTCCACTGTGTAAATATACCAAGTTTTCTTTATCCATTCTTCAGTTGAGGAACATCTAGGCTGTTTCCAAGATCTGGTGATTACAAATAATGTTGCTATGAACATAGTTGAGCAAATGTCATTGTGGTGTGAGTATTCCTCATTTGGGTATATGCCCAACAGTGGTATTTCAGGGTCTTCAGATAGGTTGATTCCTAATATGCTGAAAAATCACCAAACTGATTTCCACAGTGGCTGTTAAAGTTTGCATTCCCACCAACAATGGAGGAGTGTTCCCCTTTCTCCACATCCTCTCCAGCATAAGCTGTCATTGGTGTTTTTGATATGAACCATTCTGATTGGTGTAAGATGGAATCTGAGTGGTTTTGATTTGCATTTCCCTGATGACTAACGATGTTGAGCATTTCCTTAAGTGTTTTTCTGCCATTTGAGATTGTTCTGTTGAGAATTCTCTGCTTAGATTTGCACCCCATTTTTTAATTGGATTATTAGGTAGTTTGATTTCTAGTTTCTCGAGTTCTTTGTATATTTTGAAGATTAGCCCTCTGTCAGACGTGGGGTTGGTGGAGATCTTTTCCCATTCTGTAGGGAGCCGTTTTTGTCTTGTTGACTGTGTTCTTTGCTTTATAGAAGCTTCTCAGTTTCAGGAGGTCACATTTATTAATTGTTGTTTTCAGAGTCTGTGCTACTGGAGCTCTATTTTGGAAGTGGTCTCCTGTGCCTATGCATTAAAATGTATTTCCCACTTTCTCTTCTATGAGGTTCAGTGTGGATGGATTTATATTGAGGTCTTCGATCTATTTGGACTTGAGTTTTGTGCATGGAGATAGATAAGGATCTATTTGCATTCGTCTACATGATGACAGCCAGTTATACTAGCACCATTTGTTAAATATATTTTCTTTTTTTCCAGCTTATATTTTTAGCTTTGTTGTCAAAAATTAGGTGTTCAAAGATATGTAGGTTGATATTAGGGTCTTCAATTTGATTCCATTGGTCCACCTGTCTGTTTTTATGCCAATACCAAGTTGTTTTCATTACTATAGCTCTGTAATGATGGTGATGACCCCCCAATGATCCTTTATTGTACAGGATTGTTTTGGCTATCCTGTTTTTTGTTTTGTTTTGTTTTGTTTTGTTTTTTTCCCCGTATGAAGTTGAGTATTGCTCTTTCAGGGTCTGTGAAGAATTGTGTTGGGATTTTGATGGGGATTGCATTAAATCTGTAGATTGCTTTTGGCAAGATTGCCATTTTTACTATGTTGATCCTACCTATTCAAGAGCATGGGAGATTTTTCCATTTTCTGATGTCTTCTTTAGTTTCTCTTTTTAAAGACTTGAAGTTCTTATCATACAGGTCTTTTTTGCTTGTTTGGTTAGAGTTACCCCAATATATTTTATGTTATCTGTGGCTATTGTGAAGGGTGATGTTTCTCTGATTTTTTTTCTCATCCTGTTTGTCATCTGTATATAGGAAGGCTACTGATTTCTTTGAGTTAATCTTGTATCTTGCTACATTACTGAAGGTGTTTATCAGTTGTCGGAGTTCTCTGGTAGAATTTTTGGGGTCACTTATGTAAACTATCATATCATCAGCAAACAGCAAGAGTTTGACTTCTTTTCTACTCTGTATCTCTTTGATCTCCTTTTGTTGTCTTATTGCTAGAACTTCAGGTACTATGTTAAATAGATATGGAGAGTGTGGACAGCCTTGTTTTGTTCCTGATTTCAGTGGGATTGTTTTGAGTTTCTCTCCATTTAGTTTGATGTTGGCTGTTGGGTTACTGTATATTGCCTTTATCATGTTTAGGTATGTTCCTTGAATCCCTGATCTCTCCAAGACCTTTATCATGAAGGGGTGTTGAATTTTGTCAAAGGCTTTTTCAGCATCTAGTGAGATGATCATATGATGGATTACATTGACAGATTTTTGTTTGTTGAACCATCCCTGCATTTCTGGGATAAACCCTACTTGGTCATGGTGGATGATTTTTCTGATATGTTCTTGAATTTGGTTTGCCAGTATTGTATTAAATATTTTTGCATCTATGTTCATGAGGGAAATTGGTCTATAATTCTTAGATGTATCTTTGTGTGGTTTGGGTGTCAGGGTAATTGTAGTCTCATTAAAAAGGTATGGCAATGTTTCTTCTGTTTCTGTTGTGTGGAATAATTTGAGGAGTATTGGTATTAGATGTTCTTTGAACATCTGGTAGAATTCTGTGTTCTTGTAGATGTAGGTGATTTCCTTGAGCTGGTGTTTTCCCTCTAGTACTTTCCCTTAGTAGAGCTAAGTTTGTGGATAGGTATTGTTTTAATTTGGTTTTTATCATGGAATATCTTGTTTTCTCCATCTATGGTTATTGAAAGTTTTGCTGGATAGTCTGGACTGGCATCTGTGGTCCCTTAGTGTCTGCATAACCTCTGACCAGGACCTTCTGGCTTTCATTGTTTCTGTTGAGAAGTCAGGTATAATTCTGATAGGTCTGCCATTATATGTTACCTGGCCTTTCTCCTTTGCAGCTCTTAATATTCTTTCTTTATTCTGTATGTTTATTGTTTTGATTATTATGTGGCAAGAGGACTTTTTTCTTTTTTCTTTTTTTTTCCTTTTTTGGTCCAGTCTATTTAGTGTTCTGTAAGCCTCTTGTATTTTCATAGGCATGTCTTTCTTTATGTTGGGGAGGTTTTCTTCTATGATTTTGTTAAATATATTTTCTGTGCCTTTGAGTTGGACTTCTCCTTCTTCCATCCCTATTATTCTTAGGTTCGGTTTTTTCACGGTGTCCCAGATTTCCTGCATGTTTTGTATTAAGGATTTGTTGGATTTAAATTTTTCTTTGACCAATGAATCTATTTCCTCCAAGTTATCTTTAATGCTTGAAATTCTCTCTTCCATCTTTTGTATTCT